TTACAGCCTCATCTGAATTGAACGTTATACCACGCAAGGAGTTGTGAAGAGAGCAAAACAAGTGGAAGTCTGACGGCGCAAGGTCAGGCGAGTATGGTGGGTGTGGCAACACATCCCATCCAAGCTCCAATAATTTTTGACAGGTGATCAAACTTGTGTGTGGTCTCACATTGTCACGATGGAACACAACTCATTTACAATTAACAAGCTCTGGATGTTTCTGGATGATGGATTCGTTCAAACTGTCCAATTGCCGACAGTACACATTCGAATTGATTGTTTGGTTCCTTGGTAGGAGCTTGAAAAACACGACACCTTTAAAATCCCACCACACTGAGAGCATAACCTTCCTCTGATGAAAGTCTGCTTTCGATGTTGTTTCAGGCAAACCATCACGCCGGGACCAAGACTGTTTGTGCACCACATTGTTGTAAACAATCCACTTCTCATCACCAGTTATCAGTCACTTCAGAAAAGGATAGTTTGGGGGCCAGCCGAGTGGCTCAGTTGGTTAAGAGCGCACTCAAAAGTGTGAGATCTGAGCAACAGCAGTTCGATTCCCAGCCCGAGCAGAACTGCCACTGAGCTGCCAACAGGTGGCAGGATGGCTCAGCTAAAAAAAAAAAAAAAGATCATTTTCCTCACATTTAATGAGCATATTGCAGATGTTTATACACACCGTCAAATGAACTTCTTTGAGTTCATGCGGAACCCAAATATCGAGCTTGCTTACGTATCGTGAACGCTTGAATGATGGATGTTCAATGTCCCTGCAATCTCTCGTGTCGTGTAATGTGGGTTTGACTCGATCAATGTCTTTATTTTGTCGTCATCAACCTTGGCGGGCCTCCTTGACCGAGGAGCATCGTTGAGATCAAAATCACCAGCACAGAACTTCGTGAACCATCGTTGGCACTGATGTTCTTATAGAGCATTGTCACCGTAAACTTTATGCAACTTTTCACAAGCTTGATGCACGTAATTCATTTTATGGAAGTAAACAGTAAAATATGGCAAAAATGCACAGTTAGGTCTTCCATCTTCAACTTGCTGTAAAACCTCCAAAACTCAACCAAATCGCTCAATTTTGTTTTTAGAATAAAACTAGAACTGCCAGCTGGCAAATGACATAGCAAAAACATAGATGCGAATGATTCTAGTACTTCCAAAAATGAACTAGTGCCATCTGTCGCAAACATGCGTCATGACTTTTCCGACAACCCAATAGCTTTGGGGAAGGGAGTGGCTATTTCAGATAAAATTGAGTTGGCAACTTACTTGACTAAGACTAGGACTGTCAACTGAACATATGCAAATAATTACATAATCATATATATATCCCTGATCATTCTTCCTTCCTGGCAACTGAAAACTGGGGAGAGTGTTATTGCCAGAGAAAAAGGGGTATGCAGCATTAAAGGACTATTTAAGGAACGGGGAAGGGAAACAATCTTCAAATAACTTCTTCATGCAGAACTGATAAAAGTCTTTTGGACGTTTTTGAAACCCTTGGTCAACAGATAATTCTAACAAAAAACGGGTGGTGGTGGTGTGTAAAGGAGTTTAGGAGCTGTGAAGTTGTGGAGTATCTTCGATCGTATTAGTGACAGAAGAAGGGTTGCTAAGGCTCAGCTTTCTGTAAACACCTTTGTTGCAACCAAAACAAAACCCCCTCTTCACTGGCTTAATAAGTTTGCAGCAGGCCTTCAAAACCGGCACATAAATTAACAGAGAGATATCTCCTGGTTTCAGAGTTAAGGATTTCTCACAATACACTCTTAACACATAAAATAATATGAAGGACCCCAACTAGTACAGTGCCTACTGCAGCTGTACTAAATAATCCGTATCACAGTCATACCTCATATAGAAAATTAATTGGAATGCTCAGAATAAGAACTTAAGACACACGGAGCTTATTTAAATGAATTATAAGGGAGCAGCTACTTTTTAAGGTTGTCACAGACTAAAATTCATCACAGGCTGATTTTCAAGCCTCTGCAAAGATTCAGTTGTAGAGTTTGTTGAATTTCCAAGGCAAAACAATTCACAAATTTGGAAAATAACTTCTGTTCACCTAGTCTCAGCAGGGCTCATGCATATAATAAACTAAAGGGTCACTTATTGGATCCTATAAAAATAGGCTTCTAAGTGCAAGGAAAAGCACCCCTTTTCCCCAGCCCCAATACATACATGCACAGACACACACACAACCTGAAGCCAGAAAATTCCAAGAGACAGCAGGAAAAAATAATGTTCTACATTTAAGAAGGTGCTAGACATTGAGGGGTTTAAACTTACCCACAGGAATTTCATACTGAGGAGACAATCTTCAAAAACAGGTAACGGCAATAAAAGTTTTACTGGTAACCTGCTAAAAGTACACAGCACCATTTACCTGGCACATATACAAGGCCCAGCAGGGCCCATGTACTCCGCCCTTTTCATATCCACCAGGGAACCTCAGCAGGACCTTATGGAGACCTGCTTATATCTGAACACTGGAGTACATCGTTGCTTTGGCAATCCCTAATAAAAAAGAAAAAAGGACTCCACTTTCATTTTAGAGAGGAGAACTTTCCAGGAAGACTTTGCCTAATGGTAAAAGGTTTGCCTTGTGTAAAGGACAACAACTGGGTAGATACTTGGCTAATGTTTCTGCTGGCAAAGTCGTCTTCCTCCCAGTGCAAACAAGCCGACTTCCCACACGCCAGTTTTGTCCATGTCGCCTTGAACACAACACTTATTCTGTCTGCATTTCTAAAAAGCATTACTTGAAAACATAATTTGACATTCTAGCCAAAAAGCCCTGCCTGAGACCCATGCAGTCCAAGACACACTTGTGAATTAAATCCCAGGACACATTTAGGTTACTGGGGATTGAGTGCCATAACCAGTTTCTGCCGATGAGAACTACAAGGAGGGAAAAGGGACATAATCATGGTGCATTTGAAAATGGAATTATAGCTCTGCATTCTAGTAAGAGCTACAGCAACTCATTTTATTTGTAAACTTGACTATTTCTACTTTAAGCACTCAGAATGATTTATATTAAAAGCCAGA